CTATATATTATTAAAGACGAGACGTTATACTATATATTGCCTTAGTAAAATATTCAATATTTATTGCTTTATTAAATTTTAAAAACTGTGATCAGAACTTTTGGTATACCCTAAGTATACTAATCGGCAGGTAATAAAAGTTACATTTCCACAAAGTCAAGAAAATCTTGGGCTTTACTTTCTGATATGAGCAACATTCTTATAAAATTCAAGGTTTTCAGAACGACCTTTTCTTTGCCGGTTTGGTGTAATCCCTTTTAGGCCTCAGTAAGATTTATGAACGTCAGAAACGATATCATGACATATAAACAAACAAGCGACATACTTCCATCGTTTGTCCATGTAGAAAAAGACCAAAAATTAGACTGAAATTGCTTATTTTTTAGATTAAAAATCGATTAAATACTGGCATTTTAATCTGATTTTAATAAGATCTTTCATTCTGAATGATGAAGTTCAGCTGATTTAAATCTTGTTAATCGATTATATAGTTTTAATTAGTTTTGGTTGATTGTTGGAAATTGATCGTAATTCCTTTTTTAACCATTTTTGTGTACTCAAAGAGTGAGTACAATCCAGAATCGGTCAGCGTGTCTGGCCGACCGTCGGGTCATTTACACAATAACTCTTGAAAGGAGAGTTCGATCGGGGATGGGTGTGGGTTTATTCTATTTCTTTATCTAAGCAGCCATCCACACCCACCCTCAGGAAATCAGGAGGCAACATTGACTGTAGCGACCTCTGATGCGATGCATGTGAGCACGAGTTACTCATTATATTGTGACATTTCGGCTTGAAGTCGGTTAGGATGGACTTTAACTGAGTCGGGATGGACCCATAAAATGAGTATTGAATTCTTTCATCAAATATTTCTTAAAGTAAATAGCTTCGAGTGGGATCTCCTGAAGTGAGAAATTCTAAGCTCTATCAATTGACAATTTTTTCGAATTAAACGAATAATTATTTTTTATATGAAATCAATAGGATGAATCTTTGGATATGATTTTATTTGTTTTATCATAATATTATGGGGTGTGAGTGTGGGTGTGAACTATGTGAACAACTAAAACCACACCCACACCCACACCCACACCCTCTTGACAAAATGTATCCAGAATGCTTTCAAGCAACTGAACATTTGAAAAAGAAAAAGTGTAAATGTACACAATGTAAGAAAAGATCTGATTTTGAACAGCTACTTCGAATAGCTACTTCGAAAACACATTTTACATTTAATAATAAATTAGATATTCAGCACAATGGTGTTGCAATGGGTGCTCCATTAGCTCCAATTATAGCCGACGTCTTTATGGCCAATCTTGAAACAACATTGATGGATCAATTAATTGATGTAGGTGTTTGTGAATGACATCGATATGTTGACGATACATTTGTATTTGTTAATTCAATTACTTGTATCGATAGCATATTATCCATTTTGAATAACTTTCACCCATCCATCACGTTTACATACAAGATTGAAGATAATGATAAATTAGAATTTCTTGAGGTACTGGTTACTCGTTCAACTGAACGCCAGTAATTTGAAACAACAATTTATCGAAAACTAACTTATACCGGCTTGTTAACTAATTATCAATCTTATGTTCCATCACATTATAAGAAAGGTAGTTTAATCACTATGGTAAATCGAGCACTCATGATATGTTTAACATATACATCATTAGCAGCTGAATTTGATGAAATACGTCGAATTGGACTAATGAATGGTTATACATCATCCTTTATCGATACTATCATTGGCATTAAACTAAGTCAATATCGAAAAAAGAATAATGATGTTATACAATCACCACAAACTGGACCAGATAAAAAACGAATATATGTTGAAATTCCATTTATAGAAAATGCTATAAAAGAATTAAAAAGTAAAATAACGCATTTATGTAACAAGCTTCGACCAGATCTAGATGTCCAATTTTACATGAAATCACCACGAGCTGTTCAAATGTTATATCAAACGAAAGATCCTATAGATATGAAAATGAAATCTGATGTCGTATATTCAATAAAATGTAGCCAATGTGAACATTCATATATAGGTAAAACAGAAAGACAATGCATAAAACGTTTACATGAACATGGTGCACCAAAATCATCAACTCAACAGCAACAGGAACAGCATTGTACTCAAACCGACAACAACATCCCAGAATTAAGAAAATCAGATCGTTTAAAAAGTAAGACTACAGCTGCATCTCCACCAACAACAACAAACACAATTGTCAAAAAAGAAACAACATCTGCAGTCGAACAACATCAATATGAAACAGGCCATTAAATGAACTGGGATAAATTTTGCATTATTATGCAAGATAACCATTACTACCGATTACTTATTAAAGAATCATTATTAATCAAAGCTTATGAACCAGAACTCAATAGAATAACACACTCTGTACCTTTAATCGTCTTTCCTGATGGTCTACAGAAAGAGTTGCTGCCTAAGCCATTTGATAATGATTGCTTTATGTAATTATATTGTTTGTTATATTGATATTTTTACTTTAATTTTTTCTTTCTCTTCTTTGTACACTTTAAACATACTCAAAATAAATTCTTGATAATGAGGTTTTAGTTACCTCGAAACGTCGAAAATATACGTATTTTCTTTTCTATTGTAATTTACATTACATTGAAAATGATGCTATTTCACGCCGCTGTTATATATCAATTTTTACTTAAATTATTGCCCTTACAAATATCTAATGAGATGATAGCTGTTGATGAATGAAATTAAACGCTTTACAATACATTCTTTGAAATACGTCTTTTCGTTTATTGTTTATTTCTGTTCGGTGAAAAAAGGTGACGATATTCCGTTTGTCGAGATGGCGATCCAAACGAGTATCTTGGGTTCATATTTACGAGTTTGTTTAAATTTAACATCAGATGATGTTGCCGCTTTATTAGAAGTACAATAACCACGATTAGTGGGAACCGAATCATCAGTAAGCATGAAATATTTTTCATCGTCTATCACCACGTGGAAATCGTTAATCAACAGCATTCGATATAGTCGACGTGCTCGAATTGGTATTTCTTTCAATTGTTTATCAGTATATTTCGATGCTCTTTGTTTTTTATAGTACTTGATGTTCATCTCTTTCAAACAATTGCAAATAGTTTGACGGCTGACTCCAAATTTTGGCGCCAATAGGCGCAAAGAAACACCAGTGTTGTGATTAGCCAGACGTTTCAGTTGACTTATTTGTCGTTGAAGCAATTTTTTTGGACGACCAGATATTGGTTTATCTCCAATATGGCCAGATTCCTCATACTTCCTGATGATGCTGTATATGGTTTGACGCGGAATTTTTTCTTTCAAAAAATGATTTACAGTAATATTTTTCTTGCTTTTAGCATAATTAAGATGGAACTTTACAATACGTTTTTGCAGAGCTTCTCTTTCTGATCTTGTCATTTTTTCAAAAAATAATTATGGCAACGTCTGTCAAACAAATTTTGACACTTCTGTTGACGCTCTATCAACCATTATGTAAATGATAAAACAGATGTCGCGAACTAGTGCTTCACGCGCAATATGATTTTGTATGAAAACTTTCTTGACACAGGTTATGTATGCATGACATATGAATGACCACAGTACAACATGAAACAAACAAAATTAATAAAATTTTTCATTCAAACAAGCAACGCAATATATACCATACTTGAAGCACAAAACATAAAGCTACAATATTTGATGACATCAAAATTAATACAGTTATATAATACAACAAAGATCGACGACGAGACGAGAAAAAAGAAAATTGCAAATACTCCATGATAAAGTCAGGGTGATCTTTCTCAACAATGGCATGTCTTTTCAATAATTAATTTTTTATAGTCTTAATTTATCTGAAAGTATACCAAGATCTTCTCACGTCTAACAGAATCGCTATGTTGATAATAATGTTGACAGTTGATAAAAAGAAATACATAAATGAATAAAATAATGTCTTTTTTGCCGTACATTGTTGTGTAATCTGTTGTGGTTGAACAGTTACGATTTCATAGTTTTACGACTCGTCAAGAGGACCAATCTGTACTTTTCTTGATATTACTTTGATCTGTTGTGTTTGAACTGTTCTCTTTCCGTTATTGTTGGCTATTGGCTCGATGCGACGATTGTCGTTGCGGGGTTTTGGCCAAAATGAATCCATTAGCATTTTTACCAATTCTTGACGAAATGTACGCGACATCAATACCTGCAAGACAAATGTAGGAATGACATAAAAGAAAAGCGGTATTTCTGTAATAAAGCCGGCAAATCGTTCGATGGTATGACGTTCGGATGACTTATTCGAAATATTGATTGTGGCAGAAATATAAAAATAAAAAATCATCAAAGGTGTTGCTAGCAAGATACAGAAAAATGCTTGAATCAATAAAATCAATAGAATCTGTTGATCAGCAACGCCCGACTCGGTACCTCCATTTGCTTCTATGTTTTGACCTCTGACCGCAATTGGACGACGTTGTCGCTTCGCACGTAAATTGCGATAAATTAGTAGCGAAAAAATGATCAAGAGTAAGGAAGGAAGAAAACCGTGGAGTAAAGTAGCGAAAACGCTATGATAGTACACTGCAACTATGTTGTCGACAAAGGTACATCCGCTTACTCCCAAACTGAAAATGATTGGGATGTGCACTGATAGTACGAACCAGAGAGGCACCATCACTGCTACAACACGACGTGCTATACGTACCATAGCAAAACTGCGAAGGCGCGTGTTGACTGATGAGAGTGCATATCGATCAAAACAAGCACCAACTAAACACCAACGGAATACCAAACCGCTGGATTGAAGCACATATACACGCAGCTTGCAAAGAACGCTTGAGGTTGAGGTTGGGTCTCCATGATCCAGTGTATACAGATAGAATCCAAGTCCCCAAGATAGGGTGACTAGCCATGAAATATATCCTACTAAAATATCTGTGCAAAAGGGTAAGTAATATAAATTTTGTTTAGTCGCTTTATAGACCGATATTCTTATCTATCCTCGTGATCCACCTAAATAGGATCACAAGTTATTTAAGGAAAACGTAAGAGATCAAGACACATGAGACACTCGAAAAGAGAAACTGTGACAGAGCTTCATTTCATAGATTCTACTATACATAGGGTTCGTAAAAAACATTTTTCCAGGTGATAACGTTGTGATTTCAAATAAAATCAACGGTAAGTTTTATGCCAAATTAATGCGGGTTGAAAATGGGATACATCAGTGCTCAATAGAAAAGCATTAAGTCAATTATACAGCATTCACGGCAGAAAACGCATAAATTTTTGTGCTATATCAGCAGATCAGAATGAGTTTCGTGAAGCACGTTAAACTTAATCTCACCTTAAATGGTGAATACTAAAAAGTAGTGTTTGTTTCCTATCATTTGATGAACGAAATCAATAATAATTAGGACAACTATTAGCGATCTTATCACAGGAACATAAGAGGAATACAAACATAAAACAAGTTCTCACAGTTCAATATTTTTTCTCACGTCTATCGAAATATACAAAATATGTTTTTTAGAGCTTTTTCATTCAAATGATTGCGTTCAGTATGTCATAGCCATTGTGTCTAGATTGATTTTTGAATGTTGTTTCAATATTTATAAGTCAGACATTTAGTACCTCTGAGTATTCAGGGTGTGGAATGGATGAAATGAAATCCATTGTTGATGATATTGGAAATTACAAAACTGATTCTGTTAAAATATTTTTTTTTATACATCTCATAGTGTTCGTTTTCTGTGAATAAGGAAAAATTACTTACATGTACAGCAGGATACTGGACGAAATTTTCGTCGGGAAAACAGTGCAATACTAAGAAAGCAGCAGATCAGACCTACAACTAGACATGTTGAGTAACCATAACGAATTATTCGTCGTTGAATATCGAGCAATATGATGCTCACCGATGAACTTGTGGATGACATTTAATCGATTAAAAATCTGTAAATTAAAGAAAAGCGGCAGTGGAAGTAAGATTAACCTATGTTAAAGAGACTACTAAGACTAATGATCCAAAAATGAAATAGATTTTATGTATGACAGAGTATCATTAGCGATAAATTTGTTTAATATCGGGACAAGCTACTGTATAGAATGGACCCTTACGAAAATATAATGATTTGAGGGGGCTAATACGTCTTGTAACAAAGTTGTCTTATTCTATTCTTTGGGGGGATTTCATGTCTTGGAAAAAAAAAGAAGTATTAGCAGTAAAACTTTCTCTTCAGGACCATGGTCACAATATTATACTTGACACATAATTAATTAGAAACAGATTATGCTCATCTATATGTTCTAGTTCAATTAATGATGGTAGAAATGCAAAGGTTTTGTGAATCTAAATATCTGGAAAACTACTCTCAAGCTTTGATTGATAATTTAGCAGCTTTGAAGCATTATCGAAAATATTTGAGATTTTCTCTTGAAAAACTATTTTATATTGATTTATGAGTGATTCATTTTCGGTACAAAGAATTTATACGATCATGAATTCAATCGAATTGCAAACCATTTATTAAAATTTTAGAAGACTTAGAAGATCTAATCTGCATTGATTCCTTTTGTCTTGAACAAGAGATATCAAACTGCTGTGGCTCAAGAGTTGGACAAATGTGTACAACACGTTCTTCAGTTTTCATATCATGTCATAGAGAGCCTTCTACACATGTTGATGGATGTTTCAAAACTCCACAAAAGCATCTAATGATAAATAGAATGGCTTTAGAAAAAATTCATGAACCATCACAAGCAGTGAGATTGAAGAATAGAAGAATGTAAAGAAGAGAACGGTAAACATAAAACTATTGCGCTGAACATTCTTTGGTTTGTATCATAGTCATATATATTTATTCAAGCGGCAGACAGATGACATCTGTCATCGTCAGCGATACATTACAAAAAGAAATAAAATAAAAAAATTTGTCAGCGCAACCCCTATGGGGCTAAAATGTGGAACTCACATATTGCTTATGATATAGGTACTCATATATTAATAGTTTTATGTATTGAACTTGAAAATTACAATCGCAAAATGTAATAAGTTTAATTTTTTGTAGAGTGTGAAGTTTTTCGGTTTAATTTACTAATTACTATAGTACATATGAGTGCATAAACAATGATTTGTTGATGATTCGTGATTTACTAATTAGTTTAAGGTAAATTGATTAATGTTGAATTTGTGAACGGTTGTAAAATAAAGAATCCAGATAAGAGTGGTTTTTCAGCGGTTATTGAATTGGCTAGATTGGTCGGTATTCTTAATATTCTTTGGTGGCCTAGATCAATCGATTGAATGTGAAAATGTTGATCGTACATCGATTACCGTACCTGATATACAACTTTCTCTCATACACCAACTTGAAAAAGTCGTCCGTTCATCTATTCACGTTGTAATTATATCTGGTAGTGGTTTAGATCTAACTTACATCCGTGATTCACCTCAATTTGGCAGTCTCATTTGGATGGGTTATGCCGGACAATCAGGTGGTTTAGCAATAAGTAACGTTGTTTTTGGTCAATATAATCCTGGTGGACGTTTACCAATTACTATGTATCCAGCATCCTATGTCGACAATGTAAGTATGTTTGATATGCAGATGAGACCATTGAGTACAAATCCTGGTCGAACCTACAACTTTTATACTGGCAAAGCAGTATACGAATTTGGAATTGATCGTTCCTATACGACATTTCTTTATTCATGGAATAATGATACTAGTATGTCGTCATCGTATTCGATTTTGTCATTGATAAAAAAAACTATCATGAGCATCGAGTTCTCGTTCGACTGCTTCGAGTCAATGTGACCAATACTGGTGATATGTCAGGTGATGATGTTATCTTAGCATTTGTTAGATCACGTAATGCAACAATGAATGGAGAAATATCATCAATCAAACAATTGTTTGGCTTTGAACATGTTAGTTTAGGTGTTAATCAAACCAAAGCAGTCTTTTTTCCATTAACTGTTCGACATTTATTAATAATTGCACGAGATGGTACCAAATGGCTTCATCCAGGTTCATACGACATTCTCATCGGACAACAACATATGCATACATTTAAACTATATGGGCAATCGATTCAATGGGCATCGAAGAAACATGTTTTTCCATCAAATGAAAACATTTGACAGTCGAGCATTTTTATTTTTCTTAGTGATAATGATATTTGTTGTATTAACACATATTAGACCTATCGATATTTCTAATGTTTACCATTGAACACATCTTCTTTGAGCCTTGACGATGGATTAGCTTCGATAGGTTCGATTGGTCATTACCAACAACATCATCATCAAAGCTAACATCAATACAATTCAAACCGAGAGGATGTGGGCTTTCGTCCAGCATCAAACGAAGAAGAGAGACCTATTCTTTTCAGTCTCTGTGGCGCCCTAGACTCAGTCAAAGAGGAAAAATAATAAACAGGATGAGATGAAGAGGAGAAAAAAACTATTATCATCTACATCTCATAGATAATCGAAAACTGATCGATCATGTTATATTGATACAAAAGTACATTTCTAACTCCATTGTGTGGAGATTTGGATGTCAGTGAAGATGACTTCGCGCTGCTTTCAGTAAAGCGTCAACAGAGTGGAAAGTGTATGGGTGGGTGCGGGTGTGGGTGTGGGTGAAAGAAAAACTAGAACCCACACCGTCAGCACATTGTATTTTTACAGAATATATTCTAGAACAACACAACTGAAATGTTGTTCTTCAATATGAAGCATTCAGATTCATGGGCATAAACATTCCATTTTGGTGACGTTTCAGAAAAGGATGAGTAATAATGCTTCTGCTTCAGACGTCTTACTATGTTCCTAATTCGTTATAAAGATTCTATTGAAAATGAACGAACCATGATTGTTAGTTTAAACAAATTCTGATTTTTTCGTAGTAATACGCACACCATGCTGACACACATGTTCACTACAAGTGGCCTATTCAAATTTGCAAAGTAGCTATAGACAGTCAATCTTGTGATTCCATTAGAGAGTTCAAAGACTAAATATCTTCGAATAATAAAGGATGAATTGTGTGTTGTGTTTCTAAACAGAGTTACATGTAAAACCGAAAGTTTCGCTTATAACTTTCACTGCATTCGATATATACATAAGTCATTGAATCGTTATTTGACGATGTTTCATAATTTCGATGTGAGCTCTCATTTGCCAATGATTTTTTCAAAAGATGAGATTTTTCGTTCAATGACCAATCAATTTACTCATCTAATCATATAATCAGTTACATATACAAAAAAAAGATATGCAAACAAAAAAAAACCGTAACTTAAAAAAAAAACGTAACAAAAAAAAGGGAAAAATAGAAAAAATGAAACGCAAGCGAATGCGTGGTCACATTCGACCAAAGATCAATTAACAAAACAAGAAAGTAGTCTATTTACAAAAAGAGAAATCAAAGTTCAGGCAAACCACATTGTGTTTTCAATTAATGGATTAAAATCGATTTTAATTGTTTGAACATCATCTAAAGTAACGACAGCATTCTTCTCATCGAACAAGGCTTCGTCGAATTCCGAACTAAAAAGAAAATAAAAGAATCGACTCTTTGTTTTCTTTTCAAGTTTTAAAATACGAAAACTAAAAACTTACAATGCAATACTTTGTTGTTCATTTGCTATCTGCCCTTCATAGTCAAGGCTAAGACCAAGCGTAGCTTCTCAAAACAGATACTTTTTAAATAAATATTTAGCTATTTAAATCTTTGCATAGCTATTTAAGTTGTGTATAGCTATTTAAATTATATCATAGCTATTTAAGATTTGCATAGCTATTTAAACTATATCATAGCTATTTAAGCTTCATCATAGCTATTTGTAGCTATTTAAGTTTTCTAATAGTTGTTTAAGTTTTTTTTTTCATAGCTATTTAAGTTTTATCATAGCTATTTGAGTTTTTATTTCATTGCTAAAAACTTCGAAATAATAAATACAATATTATCCGATTTTTTTCCTCTAAAACACAATTAATATCGAACTGAGTGAGATAAAGTTAATTTGAAGGGCCATTAGATTATTTTGTAATGTGAAAAGATTATATTAGAGTATCATTAGTTGTTAAGGTAAAAAATCAAGTAATAACGATAAACTATGATAGTCTGAGTATTTTTTACACTACTTTCGAATTGTAATTTTAATATTGTGGAGTATGCTATTATTATATTATTATTTGTTAACAGGAATCTATTAGAATTTAAAAGTTTATGAACATCATTAGTATTATAAAATGAACACGTACTAGTAATACTAGTATCAGATATTCAGAATCAAAAGTATACGTTTTCTATTGAACATTCAAATTTTGGTTATGAAAAATGTGGTTTACTTTTATTAGTACTATGATAATTATCGAAATTTAGTTTCTTGTACTGTATATTCTTAAAAAAACAAATGGTTCGATTTAAACAAAAAAAAATATGTACATTGTAGTAAAAAACATATTGCAAACTCTTTGTTTTAAATTTATTGAATCATTATTTATGTCATTTATTTTAATATTATGAAAATTTAAAATAAAAATATAGGTACTTCTCACGTCATGAATAATCATATCATGTGCAACTTGTAATACAATAAACAAAGCTACTAAAGAATGCAGAAATTTTAGAATCCTCAGAAAAAAAACGTTAAGAAATAAGTGTTAATAAACATATGTACGAGTTTTATCAAACATCAAATACATAGGTTCTAGATATAATTTCTTCCCGTCTGCTTATCCCTTAAATGGTAAAAAATCAGTATTTAAGTCATAAATGTATAAAATCATGATGTTCTCTACTCTATTGATTTATTTATTTTTCTGTTTAATTGAAGCTTCTTTTATAATCTCATAAGAATAAATCCATCATTTGAAGACCTCGATAAAATTAACTTATATTCAATGGTATGATGGTATAATGATTTAAAAATAGAATAGATGTGTATCTACAATAAAAATATTAATATATTCGGAACACAATTGTTTCAGGGTTCAGTTCTATAGCTTTCTGATATGATGAACAAAGAAAACAGAATTTTTGAAATAAAAGATTTAATATCCATAAATAATTAGATAATTAATTAATTCTTATATCCTTTTCTGCTGAATAGAATAAATATCTTCAGTATAATTTTTTTGCCTTACTAGTTTAAACACTACACGACGAAAATAAAAAACGAGTGTCAAATACACAGAAATAGGTTGATAAGACTATTCGAGTATATAATCATCAATATTTCTTACAGATTTTTATTTAAAAAAAAGTCATAATATAGTTTATTTGTATTCTGAATATCTCATTTAAGTCATTTACATTTTAGTTTAGAAGAAAAAAATATTAAATAAACACGAAAGAATATAAATTGAATATTTTTCTAGTAATATGTGGCGCCTAACTAAATGAGAAAGAAATTGAAGATTGCACCATATGAGCTTTCTATTTTATGATAGTGAAAGTCACTTAATCTACTTTAGCACATATTTCTCAATATAACAAATGTCTGACTCTTTCAGTCTGTATTGAAAAAAAAACAATTGATAACTTATGCACGTCTTAAATATAAATAAATATATATATATATATAAGTATTATCAATACTAAAAATCATTCCTATCACATATCTTAAGAACTTAAATCCTGAAACATATTTGTAATAAAAACAAAGAGTGCACTCTAATAGCTACTAGTGTACGAAAAAATCATAAATAGCGTCATTAACTGATACCGTGGACACAGACTTCTTTGCTCAAAACAGTAATCAGACACGAATAACTGTAATCCATTTCTACTATTGGGGTGGTTTCTAGACTTCACTTCTATGTCCGTTGCAGGTGCAACTAAAAAACTCAAGAAAATCAATCGCGAAGCTGTTTTGCTCTTCATTTTTTCAAACCTCAACCCCCTTGCTCTAACAAGTAAGTCATCCTAGAGAGTCACGTTTCGTGAACTAAATTCTAACACCAACAATACTAAATACTTCGACTGATGGTTAAAACTGCTGCATTATCATAATTTGGCTGTATTAATGCTAATAAAAATCACAATCTCAATTCTACAAAAGGGTAAAGTTCAAATGCTTATATCACGGTTTATTGTAGATGGATAAATACCAAAATCTATACAAAGACAGTTAACGGTCAAAGAAATGATTAAATATAGATAAAACGTAAGTAAATAAGGCAAGCGTATAACGTTTCACGTCCTGTTAACGACCTATCCTAAACTTTAACACTCATGCAACTACCTAAAAACCATAATAAACTTCAATAACTATGATGAAACCTAAGTAACTACACAACACTCAAATAGCTATGATATCATTTAAATAGCTGTGCAAAACTTAAATAGCTATGAAAAACTTAAATAGCTATACAAAACTTAAATATCTATGAGAAAACTTAAATAGCTATGGAAAACTTAAATAGCTATAAATAGCTTAAATAGAAAATTTTCAAATGTCATTCGTCTTAGAGAAAAATTGTATCTCTTTTGAGAGTGAGCTGTTTAAGACACTTCTATAGGATTTCTTTTTTTTTCCGATTTAACTCTTTATGGCATATTTGTTTGTTCAGCAACTACAACTACTTCATGAATACCTTGTGTGCTAGTCTTGCTGTCATTATCATCTAGAGCTATTTTTGTCTGTTTCTTTGCCCTCAGAAATCATATTAATTCTTCCTGTTTCATCGAATGAATAAACAAGAGAATGCATATATTGATGTATATAGATTAAATGAATAATAAAAAATACGATAGAAAACTATAGGTAGAAAATTGATTAAGAAGCAAAAATATTCATTATAAGTTGTTTGTGGTCGGTAGAAAATAAAAGTGATTTGTATAAAATAGAAAGAATTAGAATAGAACACAAATATCAGTAGCTTTTGATACGGTTTTTATCTATTTATGGAAATGAAGACCTTCGAGATGAAAAGTGTTGATTAAAATTATAAATTATACAGTATTAAAAAAAAGCAGAAAAATCTTCAAAAAACAGAATTTTTCTGCTAAAAACAGAAGAGGTGGTAACTCTGCACCACACCCACCCTATCTAATACATGCAACAATTGATTTATTATTTTCAACTGAACGATAATTAAATTATAAAATAATCTCGAATAATATCAAAATAATTAAAACAATCTATTTCTAATTATTTTCGTAATAATCAAAATCTAAATGTCATATATATTAATCTATAGTGTATAAATATTTCAAGATATTGAGTTTGACTTCAATGAATGAAAGTATTCTAATTATTGTTCAAAGCAAAAGAAACAAGAAATTCAGATAAAATCTTTTTATTTTAATAATCAGAATAAAAAAAATTCTTTTTCTTTTCATTTTTCGAATTGACCTTAAAAAAGAAAAACATTAGACAGAATGATAAAAATATTTCAAATACCATTATATTCCACTTCTTCTTGTTTTAATACCTGAGCAGCAGTTTGGATAGAGTTTCCTAATTGTATTAATCGTTTACGAATTTCACCAAGACGTTTATCTATCTCGTCCTTTCGATCTGTACGTTCGAAAACTTTTTTTACCATGAATTAAACGAACACGTTCATCTATTAAACGATCATATTCATCAAGATTTGCTTTAATTTGCGTCGCCATATTTGTAAACTACAAAAAAATTTTCAGTTTACTATATATTACGGATTTTTCCTTACTAATGTTTTGTAATCTTTGTTGTCGGCCATGACTTAACACTTTGATATGTATAACGTAGAATGAAATAACTAGATTCATTCATAAGAAGATTCTTCATCCTTCTATTTGTTCTCTATAATAGGTGTCCAGGGTTAAATGAAAAGAAAAGGAAAACAATAATAGATTTTTATTTATAAAAAAGTGTTAGATAAATAATCTAACTTTATTTTATTTCGGTTCTTAGACACACGCACACCACCAAATAAGAGGAATACATGTCTTTATATAGGCATAGAAGAAGAGAGAGAACAGAAAGGAAAACTGAAATATATAATAAAGACAACGCATGATCTCGTGTGTTAACACGGATCATAACACTCGCCGGTTACGCAAAAAAAAAGAAACGATGTTTCATCTATTGTTTTTGTTTTTAATGCCCAATGTCCAACTAAGATTTTATTTAATGACAAAATCGCCAATTGTTAAGGTGTATGTTTAGTTCATGTTGTTTATGAACTTGTTTTTATTGCAGGTTCAGCATACACACATAACAATCATGATAATGATGATAAACAACAAAAAAAGAAAACAAAAATTAAAGATATATAAATACATTCTCCAATGAGAATGGAATACATAAGCTTATATGTAGAGGATGAAAAAAGGAAAAAGAAAAGAAAGAGTGCCGTCGAGGCAGATAATGTATATAATCTTGTGTGTTAACACGGATCATAACAAAAAGAAAAACAAAAAAATCGAATTTGAATTTCTAAATATGAAAGTGTTATTTTTGAAGAATAAAGTGATTAATAGTGACGTAGCCAGAAAAAAATTACAGGGGGAGGGGGGGGCATTACCCCTCCAAGAGCTTTTGCGGCGGATGAAAAATTTTTTATGCGATCAGAGATGCCCAAAAGTTTTTCCGCATCAGAACAAATGCTAATTTTTCCGGTACCGGAAATTCAAGAAAATCTTGCTGCTTCCAGCGGAATTTCATGCAAAGATGTTGGCGTTTGAGAAGCTCTATAAATTACCAAACAACTATACATAGTTTTTCGCGAAGCGAAAACTTTTGCAGGGTTTAAACAGGATTTATACTTTTTTTGTAAGCATTCTCAGATATACAGAGATCTTTTAAAAGCATCAATTTTTATGAATAAAAAGAACAAAATACTCAGCTTTTTTGCTAATAGTCTTGATTCACCAAAACTTCATTCTTCATATTAATAAATAGAAAAATAAAAGATAATACCTGTCATATAGGTTAATAATAACTGTTGGACAGAAAAAAAATGAGTGAATCACTTTACAGTTATAATACTTGAATGAGTAAGTGAGATGAAAACGTAATGACATTAATCAAAGAAAATATATATTAATGTCATTCAGAGTACTATAACCGTCTTGATCATCAGATTTTGGTTATTTAGACAAAGGACATCGCAAGCAGGTAAAATCGGTACTAAAAACGCGTTTTTCGGAGTAAAAAATTGGGTTTTTTTTTACACATTCAAAAAGGTATTTCCTTCGGAAATAAGCAAGTCTGAAAATGATGACACCAATAAACTTCTTTTTTTTTAAAGAAAAAGTAGGAGCTTTTAGTGTAAAAAGCACGCATTTTAAGCCATTAAATGAGCCTTTCTCTGCTCAGTATGTTTAATCATTAAATGGCATTGTTAAAAACTTTCGGAGTCGGATTTTGCAGTCAAAAAAATTGACATCACAGGTTTCTAGTCTTGATAACGATTGTCTAGCATATCTAAGCGAAACATGAAATTCACAATACTCTCCCAGAATAAAAGATCATGGCTTTATATGGCGTCTCTGCATGTGGTTACTTTTTGGGTTGTCTTTGATTGAGGTCAACTTTAGATTAATTATTAATGAAACATTCTAAGAAAATTATAATAATTAATATTTATTGACAACTAAGTGCTTTTATAATTAATTAGTGCATGGCCTTCTAATAGGACCAGTGAACTTTTGTTCAGACATGGCCTTCGAATATGAGGTGGCCGTCTCTTCCAGGGAGTTTATTGACTTTCGGCAATTATCGAAAGTTCGGCTTACAGCATGACTTTTGGCTATTGCCGAAATTCATGCTATTCATGGTCAGTCTCATACAAAACTGTCACTCGCAAAAGAACTTACTCGTAAATCACCAGTATCCGGAAAATATTCTCCAAATTTATGAAATGAGATCGTCATAACTCGATCTGTTATATAAAAAGCTTCTTCAACACCATCACCATGATGAATATTAATATCAATATAAAGTACACGTTGATGATATCTTTAAAAAACGAAATATTTCTCAATTCTTTTTTATTTGAAAAATTTACCTGAGTAATTCGAGAATAGCTAAAACAATATCATTGATATAACAAAATCCTGATGCTTCAGGTTTTTTTGCATGATGAAGACCATCAGTCCAATTAATGGCAATATTAGTTCATTTTCGATTCAGTTTAACAGCACCAACTAATGAACCACCAACTGATATTTGACAAAATTCATACAGACCTTCAAATATAGGACAATCTTCTCCAACATTAAATCGTTGTATTTGTTTATTAAAATCAACAATATTATCTGGTCGAATATTTTGAATAAATTTAACATATTCATCACAATGAAAACGTGTCATTTCGTCAGCTATTGCTTTATATGGACGCTAAAAAAAGATTAATTAATTGATTAAAAATTAGTTTTTATTGATAGACATACATAAACTTCCATTTTACGATAAAGTCCATAATTAAGAATTAAATTATGTATCATATGTATACGATGTGGTTTCATTGGATGGCCTTATCTATTTAAACAAAAAAAAAAGTTATTCGAATAAAGTCTTTTTTTACTAAATTACCCGTAATAATAATTGCCCACATCGGAATCATAATAATAAGAGACCTTTTTAAGACTATGAGGAGCAACAGTCTCGGATCTTGTTGGTTATAACCCGTCGTTGAGGGTGACGGCGATGGTTCATAAGCCATCGCCGTCACCCTCAATGATGGGTTATAACCAACAAGATCCACAGTTGCTAGTGTTGTGCTTATTTTATTTGATCTGAATAGAAAGTTTTTTTTAATTTCAATAAAGAGAAAAGAGATATTGATCGATGATAATAACAAAGAAAGAAAAACGACTGAAGGTGACCTACCAGAGAGTGGGCGATTGAAATAATGAATAAACAAATATCAATTTGTTTCATAGATTTTCCAAAATGACATGTGCAGATAAAAATATCATTGCTCGAATGATTATCCAATGGAAAGGTTACTAGAGAATGCCACCATATACTCTTAATATAATGAAATCATTTTCCATTACATCGATAGTAGCACAAATATTCGCAACATTTTTTTATTGTTCTTTGAATATAGTACATTGCAGAACCATGCAAGTCTTATTAAGTCAAGAATTTCTATTTCCACGTTTGTAGAAATTTTTTTTTCTGTAGAAACACAAGGATATTGTACCATTGTCTTTTATGATATATTAAAAAATCTAATCAAAACTAGGCAATAGAGTCCGATATTTGTCACTTGATCATTTATTCGTTTCCACATTTCCCAAAGGGATATCTTTTTCTATTCATGTTTGATGTAACATATCATAGCGATTACATTAACACAACAATAAATAATCGAAACAAAAGCAAACTTCGTCTATGAACATATTCGACTATATATCAATGTTAGATTTTTTTTTGTTCAACAACGGTCAACTTTTTTTTTTCTCCAATGAGGAGAATATTTCTCAACAAAGAATGAATAGATAACTATATATATATTGTCTTGACATGAGCGATATAATGACATTTAAATATGAATCAATATATTGTTCATCTTCTTGATCTTCCTAATGAAATATTATTTATCATTTTGAAAAAACTTGAGAATGTTGATGTTCTTTATTCTTTATTGGGTATCAATAATCAAAGACTTGAAATCATAGCACAAGAACAAATCTTCACTAACATACTTAATTTTGTCTCCAAATCACAATCAACTGATGAGATTTCTTCAATTTCTTCAACAATACTCGATCGATTTTGTATTTCAATATTACCAAGAATTCATAAAAATATCAAATCGCTCATTATTGAATCTGTTTCTATGGAAGAGATTCTTCGTGTTGGTAACTATCCTAATCTCACTAAACTTAAAATTTTTAATTTCAACAAATTAATCGTTTCAAAGTATTTTAAAGGTAAGATATTTATATGTACTAATAATTTAAAAGATTAGTATAGAAAAATAATTCTATGCTTAGATAAAATGATATGTATTTCGTTTAGACGATTCTCTCTCGAGACATATTGATAAACAACAAATTACAGATCTTGTTCTTGTCAGTAATGAAAACAATATTGAAATAACACAAAAAGAGTATACGAAGAACGTTTATGCAATTATTTTCGATTTCTTTAAAAATCTAAAGCATTTGAGTATTGTTCCATCATCTATCAACGATTATCCACCTTTGTCGTTATATATTTCACCACCACTGGTTTTTTCTTCGTCAACACTTACTAAATTATGTATCAATATAAATGATTTTAATGATTGTCTTGCTTTACTTGATGGTCGTTTCAAACAATTAAATACATTCATCGTTCAAATTGAATATACCTACTACTATAGTATATCAACAATTTCAAACACGGTGAGTTTATGCTTCATATTATTTATTATCGTTGTTAACTAGTGTTTAATATCGAAGATAACTTTCTCCACTAAAAAAGTGAGAATTTAAAAAAAGGACTCCATGGTACCCCGCCTCCTGACATGCTTTTGAAGAACAAAAAAAAAATAAACATATAACGTGAGCCTGGACGGAGAAATCTTGGAGGCAAAATGAGCTACTTTTGATCCTTGTTTGGTTCATATCTCTGAAATATATTTATTGTCCCTTTTTCTGCTTTTACTCTTTAATTAAATAAAATCAATTACGGAAAGATATAGGAAGTGCTATATGACTTAATAGATGAAATTTTTTTTTAGCCTATGTATGTGTTCCTCAACATTGAATATGTGCTAAAATGAAAAAAAACAGTAGTGTAGAGCAGCATCTCACTCAATTTCAAACCAATCTAATAGAATTCGTGCGGCGAAAAAGCTTTGGAGATCGATCTTTTGAAAAGCTAGTACGCGATATACGCATCTGGTATCCTATCATCTGATACAGTCCTCTTCATTTAATGTTCTTCTTGTTTGTTCTCGTACTAATAGCCTTCCTTTGTGTAATTTTTTTAATGCTTTTGACATAAATATATTCTTTCTCATCTAATTAGGCCATCTAAATGTCTCTTATATTTAATGATTGACAGTATGCGCCAATTGAAATTTTTTCCTTTCCTGTCATTGTTGTCGTATGCAGTGCATGTCGTGTAGAAGTACCGATTATTACTAGACAATAAACATATATTTCATCGAATTTGAGAACCATTTAAAAACAGATTTAGAAAATGAATAATATCTCTTGAGATTGCTGATTCATGGGAATTTATTTGTTAACTGAAGTGATAAACATCAATTTAGAAATATTTTCTATTTTTTTCAGAATGATCATCCTAATTTGAAATGTTTCTCATTAACATGTTATCCTAGTAGTAAAGCATATGACAATCTGGTTGTACCTCTTCTTCGTCGAATGTCAAATCTTGAAGAATTATCTTTATATATTCATATCTTTTGTGGATCGCTATTCATCTCTGGTACTCATCTTCATAATGAAATACTTATTTATATGCCACAACTCCATACATTCACATTTTGTATTACTTCTGAAAATTACTTTATTGATCCACCTATTCGTATATCTAATTTAGATATTGAACGAACTTTTACAAATATAAAATGTGGACAGGTCGCATGTATGGTCGATTATTTCGAAACAGACAAAACGATTTGTCGCGTTTTTTCACTTCCATTTAAATTTCATTGTCTCAAACAAATCTCAAATAATATTCCAAATCTTGTATTTAATTCTGTTACTCATTTGGAATTGTGGGACGAAAATGCATTTAAATATGAATTTTTCATTCGACTTCAAAGAGGTTTTCCATTTCTTAAAAGTTTATCTATTTGGAATATTCGACCACCATTTTGGGGATTTGACCTGTGTGATCTTAACGATAAGGATTGGTGTTCAATTATTGAATATCCTCATCTTATTTCACTTAATATCGCAAGTGTAAATATTTATTATGTTGAACATTTTCTTAATGAAACAAAGACGCATTTACCTCGTTTAACTGAATTAAAAATCCGCTATAACGATTTGGAAATGGTGACAAAAAACTTTACAAGAGATGAAACGCGACGCAATTGTGCTAAAGTAAATCGATTAATTGTTGAACATTCTATAGTTTATCCGAAAGATGTTTATTATTATTTTCCTTTGTTATCAGTTTAATTTTGTTTTGAGATGATTTGAATAAAAATCTCTGTTGTAAATTAGAATTTTTTTTTCTTATAACATTATGTATGATACAAAAAATACGTGTTATCTATGAAGACAAAATCTGTTTTGAAAGCTGAGTTATTATTAAAAAGCTTGTCAGCGTAGCCCCTTTGGGGCTAAAATGTGGAACTCACATATATTCTTCAGCTTAATTATGCTAGTATAAAATACTAGAAGTGAATAATATCTAATAGACGATAGTTGCTTTGAGAACAATTGATCGTCAGAGAAAAGATCTCTTATTAATATTCAAATTTTGAACAGAAATTTTATCTTTAATTGTTTGTACTGGCACTCTATTTTTTATTTGCTTGTTGCTATTCGCTCGTTATTTATTTTCTTGTTTTTATTCTGTTTTTCTTAATTTACCGTTATTTTATTTTTTTCTAATCATTGATTTAATCGAAAAAGCTATCTTTATTAAATTTAAAAAACTAAATTGATCTCTTCATATCTTTACAACAAATTTTCATTCTTGGCATTATTCGATCGACGTGCTTGTCAATTTTTTCTTTTTTTTTCTCGCACTTTACGCATATATTCGTTTGTATTTTCTTGTCGTTTTCGTTCCCGACATCGACATACATGTTCTCTATTTAGTTTTGCAAGATGCTCTTGACGCATCCACAAAACTTTCATAATCATATCAGTTAATTATGAACTAATAATGACTTTTGTTTCTTCTTTTTCATTATTACAACTATTATTTACATTATTCATTATAATTTATTATTACAAAATATAATTAATATAAATAATCTGATAAATGTATAATGAAGAATTGCACCCAGCCAAACAAACATAGCAGCCATTTATTATGTCGCACCTACCTGTAATGGGGATGTCTGTAATGAGGGGGGGGGGGGCCTAAATCCAAAATCATAATAAATAAATCCATTGTTACGGTGGTGATGGTACCCAAAATCGATCTCTAAGACGTTTTGTTGGTTGTGTGAATGAAGGATTTTCATGAATTTTCTAAATTGCATTCAGAGAGAATTTCGTATCATTTCAAATAAATATTAATAAAAACTACATTAATTATGACGATATGCTCGACGAAGAAAATCTTCTAGTAAATTATTTTCATTAGGAAATCGTTNCCTCACCCTCACCCCCACCCCCCACCAAAACCAAACCCACACCCACCCCCACACCCCACCCACACCCATACCCACACACCCACACCCACACCCACACCCACACCCGCACCCACACCCACACCCACACCCACACCCACACCCACACCCAGCCCACACCCCACACCCACACCCACACCCACACCCATCAGTTCTACATACTGATTTTTACGAGAGTCACTCTTGGAACATGCACTTGAGTCATGAAGTCAGAATCGACATAAAAATATAGCTTAGTGCACAAGAAACATATACTCAAGAACGTGAGGGTGTGGGTGCCGGTCTGGAGTGTGGGTATTCAAGGATAGAGATGAAGACTCCACCCAGCCCACATCCTGATTTTCTCTCAAATAACTTCTGCTTATACCTTTTTTCATCATACGAAGAAAAATACGAATTTTAGAGCATTCTTTTCTCTCTGAATGATTTTATTTCAGATCACGCAATAAATTTCCTTTCAATTATTTTGAAAAACTCTGGTGACGACAGCGCCGAGAAAACGAATTAATTGCTGAAGTAAAAAGGAAAGTACAACATATTATTGTGTATTTGAAAAAATTGGTAAAAAAGTTGAAAATTTTACAAGAAAACTAGATAAACCTGTTGGAATTGCATTCAATTAGAAATTTTCGTTTTTGGCAGAAAAATTTATTTTTTTTGAATATAAATAACTTTCTTCTTTTCTATTCTATTTCCTTCAAGACTGACATGGATTTGCCTTGGATTTCTAACTTTCAATCATTGAAGGTTAAACAATGCATGGGGATGCATGGAATAGTGACGTCTGTTTTTGTATTCGAAATAATTTGCTCCTATATTATCTTAATATTTTCCACTTCCACTTAGTTATCCATACAATTTGATTAGAGAAGATCAGCAATATACGTTGTACACTATTCAAAACGCTCTCCATACTAGCAAGTTTTTCGTTGCTCGGAAATCTAAACTGTATGCTCTGTTAGGTGTGAAATTTTAAACAACTAGACCACAAGAATTTTTTTACATTAGTCAATAATCCGAATAATAATTGTGAATAACGTAGTACGTATATTTTAAACAACCGAATATTAGAGGGTGTGGGTATGGATGTTTATGAAGTAATCGAAGATAACAACACTCACACCCACACGTTATCGATTAGTCAAAATATCAATTATCCCGATGCTCAAATAAGTCATACAGACGGTAATCTGAAGATCAATATGGCTCATAATTTAAAGGCTGAAACACACTTATTATCTTTTATATATAATCATAGACGAAATACCTATTCAACATCAATCCAAGCAGCTCTTATACGTACTGTTTAAGATTGTGCACACGTGAGTCAATTCTATATTGAAAGCGAACAAATTCAACAGACATTTTCAATAAATTGATTTCCATTTCATTTTATGCGTCAGGAAGTCCAAATTATTCTTTACTCAATTCGATACAGAAGAACTTAACTTCGAATATAATCAAAATCTTTTCCATCAACTTCGTCAAAGAGTGATGAAACATATTTCATAAATAATTCATATTAATTAACAAAGTTTTTTTTTGCTTAATACGTGAAAATACTGATTCTACTGGTCTTGTTTATCTTCTAATATATAAACATTATTTTTTCCCTTCAAACCTCAAAAAGCAATTTCTGCTATACTTTTTTCGTTTTAGATAAGTCAAAACTTCATTGAGACCCTTGTTTACTTATAATGATACCCTGATCAAAAAAATATCAAGAAAAATTTAAATGTACAAATGTAATTTAATTATTTTTCTATGTCTTTCTAATGCAAATATTTTATTATGAATTATATTTCCATATAGATATGATATTAAGATAACATCTGATAAAGTCCCGACAAGACAGAAATAACTGTCTGTCGTGTAACGGTTCTTTCTACTCATACGCACAAATCCAACTTCTTAAGTTTAAATAGACGAGTTAATTTTTTCTGTCATATGTTTTGGTAACAGTTACTGCTGCTGTTGGACGAGAGGTGGTTATAGGAATAACCTGATTATTTTCCAAATTGAAAAAACGTTTTAAAACTGTTTTGATTGTTTGTCGAAATCGTGATGAAGAAATAAAATATATATAAAATGATGAAGCAAAATTTAGGGTTATTATACATTACGTCAATTGATCAAGCAGAGTTTCAATATAAATTCGATTTAAACTTCTCATTGCACGTTGATTTAGTGTTGCTATTGTATAAATCATCAAGATACATCGAAGAAGTGTACATGATATATTTAACACTGTTTTAATGATCATCATTCTTGTTATTTGTTGTTCCCACATCGATAAACGAGTGCGAACAGATTGTTGTTGAGCATTATCAGTTGTCATAAGATGAAGATTTCGATATGTAAGAATACTAAATATGATTAAAATGATAAGCGGAAAAATAACAGAAAATATAGGAGCCAGAAAAGAAAGGGCAATTTCTGCAAAAAGAAGATTTGTAAATCCACATGTAAAAAAAGGTGGAATAAAATCGCAATAAATAAGATAAGGTACGCGGACCAATGGCCAGACTATAACGGGAATTGGAAAAATACGACGAGCTATACCAATTGAACTTAATTGACGTAGTTTAGCCGATCTTGATGTACATGCCCAACGATCAAATGTCGACAGACAAAGAAAAGTCATAGCACATGGTCCGATTATTTGACTAAAGTAAATCATCAACTTGCATGCTATTGCAGATGCGTTCATTGATGTTGATGGAATACTTTCAAGAAGAACAATTAATAAATTATCTAAATCGAATATTGATTGACCAACAACATAATAAGAACTTGGAGATTGACGAAATGTTTTCACTCCAAGAAAAATTGTCGCATTACAAATTGCTGCTGGAACTCCAATAACAAAAAGTAAAATCGGTCTCGAAACAGATGTATCAATAATTGCTTCAACGAAAGACATACTTCATTTTTAATATCTTTTCTCAATTGAAAAAAAATACTAATTCACCTTTTTTTGTTTTTTTCTTTTATAGTCAAGTTATTCCAGCACTGTCACACCTACTCATTCTTATGTTTTTCATAATATTCTTCCCTGCAAATGTTTTGATGTCTGCTAAGAGTACAGAGATGGGACTGGTCCGGTTTTTTGACCGAACCGGACCGACCGACCGTAACCGAAGTCGGTCCGATTGGACGTTTTAAAAAACTCGGTCGGCTACGATCGGTCAACATGAAAAACTTTTTCGGTTCAGATCGACTTAGTTGAAAAATATTAGACGAAAATTTTTTTTCATTTTAGCGCCGCGTTTCCTGAAACACAGAAATAGGAATATAAGAATCCTCTATCCTTCAGGAAAAAGATGAATATGCCGTATCCTCTTCTTTCAAAAATAGCTGCTCGTGTTTTTGCTATACCGGCTTGAAGTGCTAGTATTGAAAAAGAATTCAGTCTTGCCGGTAATGTCATTACACAAAAACGCTCAAAATTATCTCCAGATATCGTCAACGATATGGTTTTTAATCGATCACACAATTTATATAAAAAAGTATTTGATTAAATTGATATATTAGAAAAAAATTGATGTAAAGTCTTTTATGGTTTTTCATAGATTTTGAAAATATTATTTTTGATTTAATGAAAATAGATAATGACAATTATATATAAAATTATTTTTCTCCATGCAACCCGCAAATTATAAGTGAGACTCTAATAACTTCTTTTGTTTTTCCGCATTATACTGGTTAAGAAACTTTTCTAAATTCGGTCGGTTACGATCGGTTAAAATAAAAGATTCTTCGGTTCGGTTCGGTTCGGTTTGAAAAAACTAGCAACCGATCCCATCTCTGTAAGAGTATGCAAGAATGTCAAGCACAGATTAGTAGAATGAGACAATAATTAAATCAGGAACAGTATTAATTATCGCATATTCTCCATCATTCTATTAAAAACAAATGATCTAGTTTTTATCTGAATAGAGTACTATGACTTCATTGGCACTTTGTTCGAATTTAAAAAACATACAATTTTACTTTGACTAAAATGTAATGCTTGGCAAATAAAATTCTTTTTTATATATTTTGTATAAAATCGTGCTGGTATAGTTGTAGCATGTGGGTGTGCATATGAGTGTGTTACATTAACCTATGAAAATATTCACATCAATACACCGACACTCATATGCGAATTCAATTTTCGCATGTATTTGCAAGTAGAAAGCCTCATATAAAACTCCATGAGTTTTCACATATAGATTTTTAGCAGTAGAAAAGAACTGCTTGATTGTATGTACTGTAAGAATAATCTGATTATTCGCTGTTACATAGATATTATTTAGTTCGCATTCATGTGTATGTAACAGTGCTTCATGTAAATAAATCCGATAATCCAGATATTTGCAACTTTATGAACAAAATTCGAAATTCGTATGAATAAATCGTAGGTACGTACAAATTTCAAAACAATTCGTGCATCCAAACAATTTTAAGGACACCTATTATTGACTAAGCTCTTGTTCAATATTAAATAATATTGGATTATTCGTTTTTAGAAGATATTACAAGTGTACAACTATGATAAACACCGATGTGTTGCTCAACAAGTTATCACTTTGATTAGTTTCAATTCACATAGACCATATTTCTTTGAATTACATCAAAAAGGTTTAAAACTTTCGACAATTACTTGAACTAATGATGAGAACGAAATAATAAAGAATATTGTTTAGAAATTTTAATTCTTGTTATTGATTATACGCATTGTCTAAAGAAATATTAAAATGAATTCATTATGAAAATTTGCAATTGTTTAAATTACATTTTTTTTCTTTTTTTTTTAAAAGTGTGTAATTCTTTGAAAAACTGATGTTATTATTCGTTGAAAAGAAAAGAGAGGTGTACCGTTATATGGTTACAGACGAAAACAGGTAATGACTCAATGAAGAATAGCATAGAACAACCTTGAGTTTTTTGTTCTTATTTTTTGAGTAAGATTGTTGTTTCTTCTTTTTCATCTCGACTATCACAAACTTTTCAATCTATTGCAAAAGAAATATTTGTTCTTTCTTTTAGTTTACTTGGTACCGAAAAAGGAGGAAACTTGCATAAATATTTCATATAATATTTTACTAATGTTCATTTCAGAGATAGATGACCGTGGGGATTTTTTGAATAACTCCATAATAACAAAAGATAAAGAGTTGATATTTTAACACAAACCAGAGTCAAGGTTGCTCTATTATTTCATGAAATCAATGAAACATTTCGATTTCTTTTGTCTTGTGTATATTATGGTTTTTTAAGATGAACCAATGTCGGTATAAATACAATATACTTTTAATAATAATAATAATAGAATCAGTAGATACCCTATCGTCGCCTCTATCGATCTACGCAAGGCAGAGGTCGATAACTATTTCCATTCCAAAAATGCAAAGACTATACTGAAGACTAGTGACCAGTATTTTATCCAAAATTTGAACGAATAAAATGTTTTTTTTCATGACACTTAGTGCTTCTTGATTTCATGACCTGATTTATTAACCTTTAGAACTTGTTTTTACACTTAGAATAGCATCAAAATAAATACAATATATAGTCTTTGATGTCAATAAATTGATATCTTTACTTTATTGAGGAGCTTTTTTGGTTTTCATAAAATAAATGTCTTAAATTCAAATCTATCAATTCAAAAAAAATACGAAGACGTTTACGCAAAATCAGCATCTGAATTATTCATCATTATTATTATCATTATCTGTATCTGCACTATAGACACTATGTTAGTCTTCATCGCAATCAACGTTTAATTCTTCTTCAATTTTTTCAGCAAACATATCGGTCTTTTTAAATGTCAATATCAGCTGGTTCGAAATTTTCAAGTTCGTGCAGCGTTAATAAAAATTACAAGAGGAACGGTGGGTGAGTGTAGGTGGTGTGAATGTGAGCGTGGATGAGATGGAGACTAAAAATCCCACTCACATCCACACCCTATATTCAGGTCTTATATCAACTGGAGTGGGTGTATTTTCATTACGTGATCTAAATTATTTACTATGTCGAACACAAAATTTAACCAAATATCAAATAGAACTCCATTGCCAAATGAAACACCTGCTGCGAAATATGATGATTTGGCTATTTATGATTGGTTTGCAACATTGACTGAAAAGAGATGAAGCAAAACAGATTTATCGATCTTGAGGGTGAGGGGTGAGTCAAGCACACCATGATTTAGATTTCGAGCTTGCTAAAGGGTCCCATCAGATCGTTATGACTCTGCTACACTTGTTCAAATGAAATCTATTACAAAGAATACAAAACATAAACAAAGTATATAGTCTATACAGAGTATCGTACTACCTAATAAAAGGATAGTAGGTAAACCGATAGATATCGTTATAGCAATAGTGAGTCAAGCATCCCATGACCTATAGTTGGATGTGGGTGTGGTTATGCGTGAGAAAATGATTCATGTCAATATCCCACACACTCACACCCACACTCACACCCACACCCACACCCACACCCATCCACACTCACACCCACCCACACCCAATTATGGAGAAATAACATTAAGGACTTTGATTAAAAACATTTGTCTCACAGATAAAAAAATCTTTGTTATAGTCTTGAATCTGAGAACATTTATCAATTCTACTAAGACATCAGACTCATACGAAGTTAGCTTATAAAACTGTCGCTTTGTAAGTATCAATTCTATCGGGAAACGCTTGAAGTAGCTCCGTTTTCTAGCCGAATATTATTCTACACTTAAAGTTGTTATTTGAAGTGCTTTCTTCTTTTCATGAGATGTAGTCAACATGACATAAGATTATTATTGTTTTTGTTCCAATTCTTAGATGAAATATAGCATGAGGATTTTGTCTGTTGAATAGTATGTTGACATAAAATGAAACAAATGAAAAGAGTCAATTCATGGACGAAAACTACGAATCCAAATCAAATATGGTCCGAATAGTTCACGAAATATTGACGAGCTCTATGAGAACACTTCTTCACTGTTTAATGGATTCATACGATGCAAACTATATCTACCAATCTTACATACCACGAGCAGCATATTCGTCACGAATTATTTCATAATGGAATATACTTATAAAGATAAACTCTCTGAAGAGAATGAATTACATCCAACACTTAGTAATATTATGTTCATGATGTGTAGTGAATATGATGCTTTGCGTAGGAATGAGCATTTAATGTGTCATGATGTATAGTATTTGGAATAAAAACAAAACCAGACACTCAAAGAATTCTTGCTATTTTCTCCTGTACGAATAGCGTGCATTTTACTCCAATACATTTGCATGAGTGAATTCACGAGCAAGACTGATAGATAAAAAAGGGTTTATTTGTTCTTTTAGAGCTGTATTCACTTATTTTGCTTGCTCTCATTGGATCAATTATGTTACACTTCTATAGAATATCCAAGCACTTGGATCGCACGATTCATCTGTCTCTTATTGAAGAAACTTATCTTCCAAAATGTCTCTTCTTTCCGTCCAGGGGATATTAGTTTATCTTTGAAAAACAAGGTTAAAGAATTTCTGTATTTTTAAAAAATAACGAAAATTTGTTTTTGTTGGTAATTTTTTATAGTAGAAAAGCAGTTGCAACGTAAGATAGTTTTTAATTAGATGAAGTTGATGTTATGTACTGTTTTCGATTTGAAAACGTGAGAAAAGTAAGTTTTCTTTGTTTCTGTATTTTTCGAAGTGAAGGTAAAATAATACATATATTTCCGGCATTTATGTCTCTGTAAGATATCTTGAATAATAGCATACAAGTCTACTGTTCGAAGAATCAATCACATTGGAAATAATCATTATTAATAATAGTCGATTTCATTCCAAAGTAGAGTATATTTTTTCAAACGGAACAACGACTATTTGAAATGAAAGTTATCAGTCAGATATCTATGTACGCATGACATACGAATGA